GATTCTGCAATAGTTATGATTTTCAAGAGCCCAACATGGAACTATAAATTTTCAGTCATGACTGTAAAGAAACTGAGAACACTTAGAGTGCAATGGTCCCCTTCTAGACAAAACATGAGTGCACCTACTTGCAGGAGTAGAAATATCACCAATGAAATGGTGATAAGGAATGATTTTTTTAAAAAAAAACTGTTCACAGTTACATATGGTGTGATTATGTGTAGAAGGTCCTTGAGTATATACTCAGGAAATCTGCTCTTGATTTAATTCCTTGCTAACAAACACGTTAATGGTAGTTATACTGAGAATTAGGTCATAAGGTTCTTTACCAACAATTCCCAAGTGAGTGGGAAAGAAATTAAATGCTGGTATGGAAAAAACCTTTTTAAAAGTCAGTCTTCAATACAAAAGATGAGGAAAACACATTATTTTTGTTCTGCTTGACTGCATTGTTATTGTAGGAGAAGGCATGCGTAACCAAACTTGTCCAGAAATGTAGTTAATGTACTTGGAAAACATTAACTTCCTTCTGTATGTGTATTTGTTACTTCTGTAAGCCTGGTGCATGGTTTGATTGCGGGATAGAATTCCACATGTTTGTTTTATAACTTAGGGTGAAAGTAACTGTGTTTTGGGGGTGGTTTTGTTTGTTTTTTAAATAAAATAGAACTCTCAACTTTCTGGATTTGAGACGCTTATTTTAGGGAAAGGGAATAATTATTGAACTACTCACTTGTTGATAACATCCAAATTTGTCTTACAGTTTCTTGTTGGTTTGTGAATTAGCCTTCTGCCTGAGGCTACAAAGTAGGAGCTGGTATTTACATGTAATAGCTGGTCCTGGTTGCTCAGGGCTGGAGGCTGATCGCTGGTGTTTAGAGCCAGCATCTGGTCTTGCCCGAGATCCTGGTAACTCTCCACCTATCCCAAAAGCATTTGCCAGTGTTGGTTGCTTCGTGCGCTTCCACGTACATCTTTATATTGCACTGGGCAGTGCAGTGATGAGCCATTTCAGTAATCTGGTCCGATTTAAAATACAGCTTTAAACACAGGTCGTATATGGAAGAAAAGTAGTAGAGCAGGTGTTAGTAGCTCCTCTCTTCTGTTCTCCTTCCCTTGCCATTTAGACTAGGGATTCGCAAAGTTGTTTCCTTACAGACTTACTGAGCGTACAGCACGTGAAGCTAGGACGTGCAAAATGACTTAGGCTGGTGCCTGTGGTGTGACACCTGTAAAATAGCTCCTTCAGGAGCTTACGGTCTGCAGAGTAATGGTGAAGGCCACATAGGTGGGAAGTAGAGAGCCTGGCTTTCTCTGCTCTGGACTCCCAGCTGGTAGCCGTTTCCTGGGGCTTGGTTAGGCCACTTGAGTTCTAGTTGACTAATGGCCGTGGTGTCCAAACACTCAGCTGTGTATCCCAGCCTTGGCACAATTTCCATGGTCAGCTGGCTCTGTCAAGGACAGCCTCAGCCGGGGCTCTTTGCACACTGTAAACTCAAACCATGAATGCCGACTGTGTTACTGATTTGATTTTACATAAAATTGTAAAAATCAAGGAATTCCAAGTTCTCATTTGTGAACTCAATGCAAATTGGTCACACTGTTAGGTTTGAATTTCTTGTGATGAATTTCTGAGTTACTGTTTCAGTTGGGGCATCCAGCATATAACCTGAAGATACTAACAGAAATGTAACTAGTATAAAAAAAAAAACCTGTAACTTTAAAACTGAGCACCCCTCTGATTTTATAATGTACAAGCAATATGTAAGTACCTGTTACTGTTAGTTCTTGGATGCCTTCTGTGGATGCTGGGAGACTAACTATTAACAGGTTTATGGTGTAGAGAAGAACAGGTCTGACTTGCTGTAGGAAATGTGAAGTTCAGCAATAACAATGCATATTGTACGATTTCTTCGATAGCACTCACAATTCTCATTATTTTGTGAAAAACTTTTAAATGGAATTTCATCCTTGTCACAGACAGCTTTAGGGTGAAATTCCTGACATCTCCTGTGTCGAGTTGGCACCATTCAGTGGGGACCTGAGCTTGGGTTTAGAGAGTATAATGTGATTCATCGGGGACGATGGTTGAATTTTGTGTAGACATTGATACATAAGAAGAAATGTGAGGGATTTGAGCTATGAAGAACATGGGGGAATATAATCTAAAAATTAAACCGAACCTACCAAATCTGCCTCATGTATGGGCTAGATTATCTAGGTGACATGCTAGGCTTTCTACAGAGAGGGACCTTGGTATGAAATAGACCTGTAATTACTTGCACTGCCATGTTAAATAAAAACAGCCAGTTAAATAAAAATCATCAGTTTGTTTGTTCGTTCACAGTTATAAGAGTTTGGTTTAGGGATGTTTTGTTTGTTTGTTTGTTTTCCCTGGATAACAAGCATACATGTGTAAATGTTATTGATGCTATTTTATCAGCTTCTATATTTGAAGCTTGAACAAGTGAGTAGCGAGGTGTCGCTATATTGCAACACTTGAAAAAATAATGGTCTGCTGGAGAGTGGTGAGGAGTAGACAGCAAAGTTTCCACAGGCTCTCCAAGTGTGGCTTATCCTGCAGCACTCACTGCACTAGGATTGCAGGGGCTGAGTGTGATTTTTCTTGCTTTCTTCAGGCAGATCAGGAGCTCGGCGCTGGCGACTCCTGTTATCATGGCTCTCTGCTGAAGCCTGGCTAAGGTGGAAGAGAAGTAGAACGTACTTAGAAAAAGGGAATGTTGAAGTGTAAGATAGGAAGCATTGGGGACAACAGGTGAGAAGGGTTGGGGAATATGAGCAGAAGGGTCAAATAGCATTTTCCCAAGAGCAGAGAAGTCTGTAAGCTCCAGGACCATTAGGCATTGCAGTACAGACTGAGCCCCGCAGGCCAGGCTGATGAAGCTTTGAACCTGGCTTCTGAAAACCTTCTTTCTCATCTAGTGGCTGGCCCACGTGAAGAAAAACTTTCTCCTTTTATCCATGAGTGAACTAGTGAGTAAAGAGCTATTTCTGCAAGTGAAAGGGGTTTTTTTTGACCTCCGAGGGTGGAAAGCGGGGACAGAAAACTGTGCTGTATAATTCATGTAGTCACCTGGCTTTTTGGTAAGAGATGAAGACAGTGCTGAATCAACAGTTTAAAACTGAGCTGCTAGAAATGAGAGAATGTGAGATTGAAGGCTTCTTATACAGTTGTAATCTGTCTTCACCTTTTTGTATGTCCTTGATAATTAGATAACTGCGTGTTTTATTTAGCAGCAACCATTCCTGAATAAGAAAGCCCATTTCTGGATTAAAAAAAAAAAAAAGTAAAATTAGCATACTATGATTAACTGCAGACTGTATATCAAGAACAATTTCAAAGCAATGGGAGTGTATAGTGGTTTATAAGGAAATACTGTTCAGAACTCAGCTAAAGATCACCTCTTCCTTTTTTCCGTCCTTTAAAAATGAAAGAAAACCAAAAATGCCGAAGGAAGTAAACAAACAAAACCCAAAAAACACACCTTAGAGAAAGAATAGAAAAATACTGCTTATCTCCTATGAAAAAAAATGCAGTGTGGTGACTAAATAGCCTTGGCAGTTTACAGATCTGGTTTTAGAAAATACACAATAGCAAACTATCAATTGACCGACAAAAAAAAAAGTATGAGAGGGTACTTGTTGAATGCTTTTGTGTGTCTGACTTCTGAGTTTTCTGTGAGAAGGGAATTGTTTTAGCTGCTTCTAAGTATAGATTACTCATCATTACGCGAGGATGGATCACTGCACTGCTTTGTTGCCTTTGGTGCTCTATACAGTTTTGATTCTCATGGCTCTTCATGCATTTCGTATTTGCTTTTTGTAGTGATGTGTGAGTGGATATGATGTTTTGGAATTTTAAGTGATTTTATTCTAACTTGTTCAGTTTCTTTAGCTGCTTAAAAGAAAAGCCAGCCTATGTTTTAACGCAGATACACAAATAAGGGGTGATTGCAAAATAATCCTGATGCCAGTCCTGTCTAGCTTGGCCAGCAGTCTAGGAAACACTCATAATACGTGAGTCTCTTTGTAGCTAGCCTCTAATAAGTGAGGTATGATTTGGTAATTGGTATGGTAATTAACCTGGAAAACTATCCTCTGCTTTGCTTGCCAAATGGCTTTATATGCTGTGATGTTAATTGGTAAACTGATCCAGTGAAGAGAGGCTTGAAATGTTAACAGGCTTGACTGTATTTAATTCATCTCTTATTTCAATGAATGGCTTTTTTCTGTTTGATGGGGGTGTTTTGTTTGTTTGTTTGTTTTTTCATGTTCATGAAGATTTTACTAAAAAGAAAAAAGAAAAACTCCAGCAAAACAACTTTTTTGGTGGGATGTTGTTCTCAAATATAAATTTCTGGCTTCATGAATTTATGTATGCTAGGCTGTAAAATATTGATATGCTTTTAATGTTAATTCTGGTTGCCTTGCATATGGTGCTTGTATATGTGTTCCTGAAAGAAAATGCTGTTTGACAGAACATGGTCTGCATTAACTCAAGACACTTTTGTCAGTTGAGAGTAAACAGAATTGTTTTATTGTAGTGAAACTTGTATAGTAAATATAGAAATCTCTAGGAAATCTATAAGGGGGTGAGGGATTTACTGGTTACAGATGTCTTGGCGTTGCTTTCCAGCTTTATTAGAAGGTGTTTGTTTTGGTTTTTTTTTTTTACTGATTTAAACTAAAGCAATGGCCCATGCCTAACCTAAGTATGTATGGCAGGAGTTACCTGTGATTCTCTTTAGAATGTTCAGATTTAGAACAGAAGCCCCTCTATATGTGCATTTACATTTTGGTTTACAACATGCTAATTTTAGAACTTATTTTCTGTAAGAAGCATTTGTTACTGTAGGTATTTGGGGTATATTGAAGTCTTCACTCGTGAGTTTCTCTGAAAAAGCATAAATGAAACATAGTGAATTACAAGAACTGTTATTAAACGTAATTTTTGTTTTATAGGTTATTCAACAATAGTTATGAACTCCCGTTTACGAGCCTTAGGCGGGAGGATAAATAACATACGAGCGTCAGAACTACCAAAAGAGAAAACCCGGTCAGAGATAATCTGTAACGTCCACTTTTTGGATGGCTCTGTACAAAGCTTCAAAGTCAACGTAAGTTTGGAAAACTGCTTTTTCTTAAATACATAAAAATTTGTTTGTAAGCTGAAGATCAAATGTGGGACCCTGAGGCATGAGATTTCCAAAAGATGTTGAAGATGCAGCTTTGCCATTGCAAATTGCAGAATTACTGGTTATGAAATGGATTTATAAAGTACTATTTTAATTTTCTTTGAAGTCCAACTGAAATGTCATAAAATCTTGGCATGCAGATTGTATCTGGAAAAAGGTCTTCTGTGTGATACAGGAACCATGAAGAAACAGATCTGGTGATCATTATCAGCTATGAATAAGTAATTCATATTTAAAGGAGACTCACTGATTTGGGTGTGCTCCTCCTCTTCTCCCATCAAAGGACTAGTAGATCTACAAGGAGGAGGCATTGTAAATTCCTGTAGTGATGTCAGTACATATTTTCTGAAATGCAGAGGTGATGCAAATAGTGAAGACATCATGGCTTAGTAGGACAGTTTGGTTCAGTCTGTTGAACTTCAATGTAGTCTCTTTATCTGGGAACAGGGAGGGAAAGGGGATTAAGGGAGGTTTGCACTCTATGTTTTTACTATATTTTTTTCCTGTAAATACTTGGTTTAATTCTGTACTATTTAATTTGGTACTGATTAGTATTAGTTCATTTTTAAATGAAAATAAAGGAAATGCCTTCACTCCTCAATCAATTTTCAGCAGAATTATCTGACCATGCAGAAAGGCTGTGGATGAATTTAAGTATAATTGTGTGAATTTAGGTATATGATACTAGTTTTATCCAATTTACCCTGTTTGAAAAGAAGAGTTTTGCTGAGGAAGCTGCGTTGTTGGATATCTTAGATTATGCAATGCTTTCTTACAAGAGACTTAAAACTTCACCTGAAAACTGTATTTTCCTAAGTGTTAGTACAGTTCTTTTTGCAGACTGATTTTATTTTTGAATGTTGTCTGTTGGATATTTATTGAAGTAGTTAAACAGATGACTTTCATTCTAACATGTACACAATTAGTCTCATATTTTAGTATAGATTTTATGTACTATATATGCATGTATATTTATATATGTATGTGTATATATGTGTGCGTATATATACGTGTGAGGCAGGTAACATTGGGGAGTGGAGCACAAGGAGAGAAGGTATATAAGAGAAAAAGTAACACATTAGTATACAATTTCCATTGCTGGTCTCCAGCATGCCCTATGAGATTGCCTTGTTTGTCAATGAGCTATCATAATTGCCCTGGCCCCCTGCACAAGGATCTTTGAAAAATGAGGGATTTAAAACTTTTTGAAATCCTTTCATATTAGTATATTTTTCCTTGTAAAGAAGTGTTTACATAGCTTTGGGTTTAGCGCTTGGCCTGAAGTCCAGCACTGTACAAGTGAACTTTGCTTCTCATTTCATCCTTTACGCAGTGATAAATGGGAACCATTTTGAAACTCTAGACCCAGCTGACTTCTCTCCCTGCCTTCAGCGTACCCCAGGGTATCCCTGCTGGTTACCTCCTTCATCCGGGAATCGGAAGGGCCTCCTTTACTGCAGCTGTAATGCTGAACTGCTGTAGGGGCAACACAGGGCCCATTGTTGCTCTATTGAGAAGAAGCGTGGAGCGTGGCTACCCCACTGTGTTATGGGCTAACACAAGGAAGAGGTTTACCAGAAGATTTGTGTTCTTTGAGCACGGAGCTTTCATACCGGTACTGCAGGAGCCTGCACTCCTCTTGATTATCTGACCTTGACGACTGCCAGCAGCTCTGGTTGTGTCACAAGGTCCAGCTCTCAAAAGGGTTTGAAGCCAGCTGCAGGAAACTTGTATCCAAGTTCTGCGTACGTTAACAGAAAAATTCAGCTTTGTGAAGTGTGTGCCTGTGCGTGTGTTTTTATTTTAATTATCAACATCATTCAGTTTTATGTCTGTAAGCAAGGAGTAACTCATGTCTGTGGTCAGTCTAGGAATCAGGCGTGTGTTGAAGGAAAAGAAGTTTTGCTCTGAATAGATTTTCCCCATTAGTGAAGTCTTTCTGTGTTGCTTTCAAGAAATTGCTTCTCGTACCAAGACATCGATTTATAGATGTGATTTTGCTCCATACTTTATTAATTTCTGGATGCTAGGTCAATTGATAATTCTATATTTTAAAGAAATTAAATATGCATATCACATGGCATGATTATCCTTAAGACAAATTAACAGCAATCTATTTAATAATGTAATAAGACATTATTCAAATGAAGGTGCTGTCTGAAATGACTACGATACAAGATACAGGGATAAAAAGGCATACTATGTCTGACGAGTTTGTAAATGTATTTTCTAGGTTTTTTACTTTCTCAGTTTTTACTGTTATTGCTGTAGTCTGAATTTTTCTCTCCTGTCTGAGTCTGGAGGATTGGAACTGGACAGGATCACCTCTTAAAGTGTAAGGTGTAGTGTTTTTCTCTTTAAAAGAACTTCAGCTTATCAGTGGAAAATTAAGGTTGGGAATTTTTCAGGGTTATATGTTTGTGGGCTAGTGGTACCTAAAAGCTCTAAGTTTGGGATGGATGTTGTACTTTGAACTAATACTAGGCTAATATCAATGTATACATAAGTATGCTTTATGTTCGTAGACAGGATTATACTTTTCTACAAGAAATAGTGGAAAGTGAGTGAGGAAAAGCAGAATACTGAAAGCTTGGCCTTCGTCCATTTAATAGCATAAATGGAATCAAAGACTCCTCCCCTTCTCATGACAACAGACTGAAAAATACTGAGCATTGCTTTGTTGTGTAGCAGCTATCTGAACACAGAATTCTTACTGCAAGAGGATTTCTTTCTTTCAAAGGCATAGGGGGATTATCTTGAAAAATAACATCAAAGAAGAGAAACATAAAGGGTAAGAAGAAACTTGAGAGAAATGTGCTTTGAGTTTATATTCCTAAGTTGTCATTTCTAAGATCTTCTTGGCACTACACAGATGCTCAAGACAAGTAAATTTGAGGTGGATTTAAACTTAATACAAAGATGATAGATTAAATAGTCTACATTTATAACCTATTGACACAGCGAAAAGAACAACTTATGTGTTTTGGAATTTTGAACTAGTACTAAGTGACATCTTTAAAATGATGGTAGAACATTCATGGTGTTTCCAAATACTGAACCTTTTAGAGAACAGGGAAGAATAGAGATATTACTTTCTTTTTATTCTATAGCAACAGGATCTTTATAGAGCCCACATCAAACTTTGTTAGCAAGCTGCACGGGCTTATGAAACTTCCAGTTATAGCTGTGTCTATCATGCTGGTAGTTGATACTTTCTTTTCCCAGTGGTTGTACCTGTAGCAATGTGAATGAAAACCAAATATCCTAAAACTGGGCAAAGGAAGAAGGAAGGTGGATTTTGTTTATGGAAATAATCTGAGGGACTTTCTATCTATTGAGAAACCTGAAGGTAGCTGCATAATTTGATTCCTGCAAATTTGTTCTTATTAAGTGCTTATCCCAAAGAATACCAGTAGCCTGACCAAGTGTAAATAAGGGCTTAATTTCAAGAGAGCAGTGCCATTTTCTCCTGGATTTTTGGCTTTAGAGTAGTGAAGTGATAGTCTTTTTTGTTCATTGTTTTTATTTAAAGGTGTTTGTACTACAGTTTTGGTGAATCTGAAATTTATGTTAACGGTATCACAAGGAGTTAATCAGTGTAACTTGTGGTATGTGCTGTTCTTAGGTCATCATTATCAAGAAAGTTCATATGGGAGTACAGACAGACACATTCCACTACATTGCTTACAGTCCAAATAGAAATGTGTTAACTCTGCAAGGCTGAAATGGCCTTTCTTGTCTTTGCCCTGTTATGTGTTTCAGTATTTAGATGGAACATGTCCAAAGGCCAGGGAAAGAATAGAAGGTGCACGTAAGCTGAGAGTTGGAAATGTTCTTTCAGAAACACATTTGAGACAAAGACTTGACTGCACTTGGTACTGAGTGTTGCACTTCATTTTAATTATATCCAGGTTTTCTTGAAGCCTTTCAGTAAATTTCAGGTGTTTGAATTTTGTGATAAGGTTAATTCACTTCTGTCTCTGGTGTTACCTCTGTCTTATTCTAAGGCTATAACGCATAAGCTTTCCAGATGAGGAAAATGTTAGTTGTTGTTTTAAAATAAGCAGAATGTGCTCACATACCATGTTTGTGGGTGTTTAGTAGGTGTATATTGAGTATATTGCCAAATAAGGCAAACTTATTTGTAACCTTTGGTATAAACATGCAGGAATTTTCCTTTATTGCTCTACTTTGACTCATTTACCAGGAATGGCCACTTGGGAGGTATACTGCTCAATTTCCAGTAAATTGACTTCTGTGAAGGGATAAAATCTACAGTGTCAGATCACTTCTGTATGGCATTGTCTTTCTGTCTTATGTCTTAGTTCCTGTGATTTTTGCGTTTAGTAATAGGATTTCCTTCTAGAAATAAAATTATTAGGCAGTAATAATGAGAAAAATTGCAGAACTTGAAATTCAAATTGTAAGGAATGTCTTTCCTTCCCTGCCATCTCAGTTAAGCTCCTTCTTCCAGTATTTGAGAAGGAATGTGGTTGTTAGAATTAACACTAACAGTTACTATCGGTATGTTTAAAATAATGAGAGGTATACAAGTCTTTAAGATTCTTTTTGACTGTGGGTGTGAGTTTTATAACTTTAAACCACTCATAGTAAATGATACAGACTTGTTGGATCTTTGTCACTAAGCTTTCCTACTTGATATTGTTTGATAATACAAGATGGTTTAGTGCTAATCTGTGCGCGTGCATGTTGAAAGAACTGCTGTATGAAGTTGCAGGCTGGCAACAAATATCTGTTTTTATATTGGGGCAGATCAGTATACTCTATGACTGGAAAACAGTAAGATAGTATGAAATTTGGTGATGCCTTTGAGGACAGTGAGAAAGTGATCTGACCTACAGCAGGCTTGTTAGTCTTAGCCCTTTGTGGGGCCTGACTTCGTAATAAATGCTGAAGGAAAAAAATTAATGGAGGGGAGATTTTTCCAAAGTTAGAACTGGAATGACTAACCTCATATACATGCTTGTTTTAAATCATTTTTGAGGCAGAGGAAATGCAGTGGGTCAAAACTCTGTGGGCTTGGATAAATATTTTACATGACCTTTATATAGGAAAATACTGCGCTGGAGCGTATGGAATCTAGAAGAGTTACGGGATGGGCAGGCAGTTGGCTCAAGAGATGTAGTAGCTCTTGCTAAAAAGATGTTAAACAGTGCAAGGACATTAACAAAGTTTTTGACTGTCAAATTACATTAATATGTTGCTATTGAATCTTTCTCAGTAAGCAAAAATTGTAAGGTTTGAGGCATTATTGACAATAAAAAAGATACAGGGATATGAGGTAGCAGATAGGTTGTCTTGAACATGTAATTGCAGTGAGGGAAATCAGTAGTGTAAACTAGTAGCTTTCATGAAGTGTGGTAATTATTTATTTTTTTTAAGCTCAATTTTCAGTTGCAGACAATAGAGGAGGAGAACACTGGTAGTTTGCAGGCTGAGCTGCTCATGTGTTACCGTTCTGAAAAAGGTGAGTGCTATTATGCACCAGGCAGGAATCTTCAGCCAATGTCAAGGAAGTATTAACAGTGTTAGTCTTGACATCAAGGCCACCCTCCGGGGAATGTCACGTGTGGATTTTGGCTACTTCCAGACAAAAGAGGGAAGTTCTAGTCAGGCAGGCATAGAAGGTACAGCTAGGATGCTCTGCAAAAGTCTGGACTGAAGAAAAGAAGAGGCTGTTCCGTTTATTCTAGCTAAACAAAATCTTGCATGCTCCAAATAAAAGCATTAGGTGAGTAAACAAATTCCAGGAAAAGGGCAGAATTAGCAGAAGAGCAAATGAGTTAGCTGCGTGTGAAATTAGTGTGGAAATTAAAAGAAAGTGTAGCACTTTGTTCAAGCTTGTAGGTATATTGGGACCAAAGAACACAGGTTGTTTGGTGGTGGATGGCTGTTACAAGCTAAATTAGGAAAGGATGACCTCAAACAGCACATGAGGGGTAATGGGTATTGTGCCTGAAGCAAGACTGAATTTGCAAAAGCTTAGGTGGTGCTTAACACGGAGGTTTTCCTTGCCAGAAAGTGGGGGCAAAGCTCTTGGGACAGGGAGATGAGCTGTATGTTGCACTGTCCTCTTAAAGTGTCGCTTTGTACCACTTACCTTGTAGAAGTTAACGAATTGAAAAGGATTACTTGCGTATTTACCCCTCCTCTCCAAAGAATTAATGGTCTTCACTTATGTTTATGTAGTTCTTAGGACAGTAATTCTTGATCACTTCAACTTCTAGGCAGTACTTGACATTAAAAATAGTGAAGGGGTTCTTCCTCTTCAAAATTGTGTGGCTTACTAGAAATTAAACTTGACTAATCTAAATTCTCTAAATATAGCAGGAAATTTTTGTGGCAAAGGCAGAATGTAATAGGTGTTAGTTATGACTGCTTTTAATATTAATTTTTGGCCTATCCAACCCAAGATGAAATGTGTTTCAAGGCAGATCTAAATAGAGGTGAAGGGTATGAGGTGGTTGACACAAAGTTTTAACGGTTCAGAAGAAGGATTGGTAGACATCAGGAAGATGAAATGGAAATTTCGTATCAGCGTAGAAGCAGGCAATCCTCTCGGAAATGTTTGTTTTTAGTAGAAAAAAACCCTTTTAAATTCTTAAGATTATCTTGAGAACTTCTGTCATTGTAACAGAATAGGCTGGTGTGAAAAGTGCGTTGTTTTTTTTTTCCTCATTGTAGAAAGGCAAGGGCTTTATTAAGAATGTCTTAACTACTTGCTGTAATGGATGACAGGGTTAAGGAGAACTTGATTCTAATGCTCAATTTAGCTGAGCAGTGTTCAGTTATTTTTCTCTTTTCCTATGGTGGAGGGGAGTGAAAGTAAAATGTGTTGTAAAGCACTTGATGTATTGTAATATTAGAGTACACTGTGGCTATGGACTGTATTGGAATGGATGTCAAAATTCAAAAGCAGTGATGTGACACACTTAGCCTGCCTCAATTTGCATCTAGATCTCAGAACTGTTTATGTGCAAAATAGAGTGAAGACCGTGCAGTGTGAGCTGTGTGATAACTTTATTTTTAGCTGTATAGGCTGAAAAATAATTAAGATGTTTCTTAAAACAAAGCCAAAGCTGAGTAAATACAGATTTTTCCTGAGGAAAACCAACAAAAGCCTTCAGCTTTGGGATTTTTAACAACTGAAGAAAACTTTGATAATTTAAAATGATATTTTGTACTTGGCTTAGATTTCTGGAGTGGGTGCTTGATCTAGGCACTGTGGAAGAAGCTTTGTGCTTTTAATACCTGAGAGCAAGTACTGGAGCCACAGAAAAGTAGTGTTGGAAGTTGCTTTTGATAGGAAATGTGGAGAGGAGCAAGAAAAGGAAACAGTAGGTGAGTAGGTGGAGGAGACTAGTACTTGCTGAGCGGTTAGGTTTGGGGTTGGGAGACCCATCGAACATTGCAAAGAGAGAACTGTGACTGCTAAGCAAGCATATTGCAGGGAGCTTGCTTGTCTTTACGGGGAAGCAGTGAGAAGGGTTAGCGATTCATGTGTGCTGGGGGAGAGCGGGGGATGCAATTGTGAGAGGGTGGGGAGAGATAAGATGAAGGCATCTCAATCGGGATGAAGGACCAGAAGCATGAAAAATGAGAAGGGAATTAGGAGATAATGCTGTTGCGAAGAAAGGAGGCTGAAAGGAGTCAGAAGTGTTGAAATTCAGAGAGAAAATTAGCAGAAGAATCTGCCCTCTGTGGTCTGCTCCTGCCCCGTTGGTGATGAAACCTGAGATGCCTGAACACTTTCTTTCAATAAAGTGCATGTCTCATCCCCTGTAATTACTGCTTTTAGTCACAGCATAACTTCAGTTGCTCGTTTAGCTCGTGTCAGAAGTATGCACCATAGATGTGCAATTATGCTTCTGAGTTGAGCAGGTGTCATGTGATGTCACTTGAAAGTGTTTTAACATTCTGCTTATAAAAACACAACCCTGGGGAAACAGATATGGTATGTGTAGTAAGGCAGTGCTACAGATGAGCGTGTTCGTGTCGGGAGATGCCCGTTATTTCAGAAGGTTGAAGGTGGCATCTGCTGTTTTCATAGGGCCCTCTTGGGTACATGGGAGGATAACCTGTCTTTGTAGCGGAACCCACCTCACTGACAGTGCTGGATAGATGCATGGCACTAGCTGTGTGTGACAAGGAATGCTTGGCCACGTGGTCCTTACCTGGCGCTGAGATTTCTGTTCTAAGCTGGATCTAGGTCTATGCTATTTCAGGAAAAAAATGAGTTTGATCAGTGCCATGGTTTGAATATCCCAAGGAACAGTAGCCTGTTCAAAAGGAGGGGAGTAGCGATGTGCAGCTGGGACGAAGGAGGGGACAGAGCTGCTGCTTTTGATGGCTGCACAGGCTGAGGCCTGAGTGGACTCGCGTTTATTGCGAGACCTCAACTGTTTGGTGTGGAAGTTAAACAAGATGGGACACTGTGACACTGTCGGAGGGGAAAGGGTAGTCTCGTACGCGAGACAGTCGAGTGTTGCCTACATTGTTTTCTCCATGTGTGACTTTGCTCCAGAAAAAAAAAAAGGGGCACAGCTTTTCACAGGAGGCCAGTCGTTGGCTGTTACTTTACCTTGCATCTGGAGCCTGATGTAGAAATACTGAGCAAGAAACAAGGCCTAGACAAAGAGAATTTAGTACTCTATTGTGTTCTTGGCTTAAGTGAGTTCTCTTACGTGCTAAGACTGGGACTGTCCATAAAAATGTCATCACTATCATGCTTATACACTAAGTCCTTTGTTTCAAGAGATTGTTTAAGAAATACATTTAAGAAATCAGAACTTAGTTTTTAAGAAATTTGTTTCAGAGCAAAGTGCTTGTCTTTTGCAGTCTAAATAAATTTCCATGGGTAATTTTTTTTCTTTTTGCATGTAGGCAGTTAATTTCTTCTTTTAAGAGTGAGATTTGGAAGATCATATGAAAAAGCAGTTTGTTGTAATTTTTTTTGAATAGACAAGATACCAAGCAACCTGGCCTGATTTTTGTTCTGTCCAGCACGTTCGAATATAAACACCTAGACCTTTTCAAGCTATTTATTACATATTAGCGTATTTAGGATTGCAGTCTTGTTGAGGGGGTTTTGTTTGTTTCTTTTCGTGGTTGTTTTTTTTAATAGAATTGGTTCACAGTGTTCTGTGGCAGAAGCTGTTTAATCTGCTCTCCACAATGCGGTGGCATGGAGATACTTGTTTGGTTTGGGGAAGATTATGCCATGCTTACGCTTCTGGATCTCCGCTGCCTGTGTATTTCTCCAGTTACATCAGTTCTTCTGTGATAGCTGTCTTGAGGGACATCTAGGCAGAAAGTGGGGTGGCTGAGGGGCAGGTGGGAGTTCAGGCTGAAGTACAGGATCTTATGGCTGGAGTACAGCATCCTCCTACTTCTTTTTCCCCATGCTAGTGTATACTGACTTTTCCTTTTGACAGCTGATGTGGAGCTGCTCTGGTGGTGACAGCAGGGGCCAGAGCAGCCCCATGTGGCTGTGAGCCATCCTTGCAGGCTACAGTTCCAGAGAACGGAATTGTTCCTAAAGACTGTGGTCAAGGGAGAGGTCGTCTGCTTAAAATTAAATTGCTGGACCGACCTCAAGGGATTGAGTTCATGTCAATTTATATTATGAGATTTCACATGCTTAACGTATTTTGGAAAGAAAGCCTGTTTAAGAAAACAAACAAACAAAAAAAACCCCATACAGCCTTTTGTCAGAATAAAGTTCTTATTGCTGACACTTTGAACCAAGGGATTAGCAGCTATTTTTATTCACTAATTACATTTTTAAAAGACAAATTTATTTCAAATAATTGTATCTTAAAATGTGTAAGTGCAGAGTTTCATTTCTGAAGTTTTCTTGTTTTCAGAAACAAGACACTGGACAGATCTTGTTGGATATGACCTATAACCAGTTGGGTGTGACGGAGAAGGAATATTTTGGTTTACAGCAAAATGAAACTTCAGTAGAGTCACCTGTAAGTATAGTAAATAATAAATGTGTGTGCATGTATATGTGTGTATACATATATGTGTATGTATATATGTATACACACATATACATGCACACACTACACATTAAATAGTATTTATTTGTAAATATTTTTAATCCATCTAATAGTTTTTCATTTCACAGCGATGGCTTGAACCAAACAAACCTATTAGGAAACAGTTAAAAGGTAAGACTTATTTTTAATATCTTGATTGTAACTGTGTAGTACTGCTTTTCGGTGTTCTTATGACTAGAATAAATACAGTTCTTGTAAACTAGTGCATCCAGATGGTAGATTTTCTTTAAGAGCAAGTCTTATCTCTGCCAGTCTTTTCAGCAGAGCTTTCTACATCTCTTACTGCTCCCTGAGTGCAAATAAGACCTGGTACGTCACTAACTTTGATGCTGTAATAGCATCTAAACCTGGCTTCTGAACAGTTTTGGGCATCATGGCCATGAAAGCAGTAGTCATATCATGGTGCCAGTAAATTCCTCCTGATAGGGAAGATAAAGGAGAGGGATTTTGGTTGAGGGAAGTGGAGCCAGTTTCATATATAGGTTCTGGCAATTTTTTGTCTCATGTAGAATAAGAAAAAAATAATTTTATGCTTGTTTTTATGAAAAACCAACCAAACAAAACAGCAACATCAACAGTTCCTAGTGCATGTGTTGTTTTAGTACATCTTGTTTATAAACAGCTTTGGGTAACACAGAATGCTTACCAAGAAGGACAGGCTGGCCAGCATGACCCTGACAGCAGCTTAGGAGGACTGAGGTCCATTCCAACCCCTACCATTCTGTGATTCTGTGACTGAGTGACACTATCCTAATTTCTGCTGTGAAACTTGAGCTGTTTTTCAGCTCTCTTATTTCTACCATATGCTGTAGATTGTGTATAAATTGAAATAAAAATGCGTTAACATGGTGAATTTCTGTTAATTTCTTGTATTTATATGTAAGAGAATTTGGCATTGTCCCAATTGAGATGCTTCAAGTATATTTGCTGCGTTTTTCTCTCCTAATACCTGTGAGGCAAAGATAACTAAATAATGCCTTTTATGTAAAGTAGCATATACAAAGTACTTAAAATGAAAGCATCACAATATTTGAGAGTATTTTCTTCTCATAGTTGGTGTTGAGGGATCAGGAAAGACTTCTTGTGGTTTCTTTTACTTTCATGAGAAAAACACATGAGATTTCTATGTGGTTGTTCATGTAATTTTTCTGTAAATAGAGAAATAAAAACCTTGGGCTCTTTCTTTTTTAAACAAAAAAATTGATTTGCTCTTCTGAAATATTGCAGGAGGTTTTCCCTGCACCCTTCATTTTCGTGTAAGGTTTTTTATACCTGACCCTAACACACTTCAGCAAGAACAAACCAGGTAACTTCTGTTTAATGTTTGCTTCCATGAACTAAGAATGTGTAAAGCCCTCCTTTCCCATCTCCACAGCTTGTCAAAGTATCCCTTATTTGGTAGATAACTTTGTATACTCTTCGTATTACATGTGCTTGGAACTGGTAGCTTGATGTGACGCTCGTGATGAATGGTTTCTGCTATACACAGCCTACAACTCCAAAATACAGCTACTACAAAGATGGCAGCTAGTCTTTTTTTTGAACGCTTCGTCAACTTTAAGTACTTGCCTATTACATTTTCTCTCCTTTTCTGATCCCTTAGTTAATCAGTTGTGATGATTAAAAAATAAGGAAGTTCAATGGTTAAGCTGCCTGCATGCTGTGTTTGTTAGAAGTTTTGTATCAACAGTGGGTCAGTTTTGAACACGTGTAATAGATTTAATGCCGAGGGTGTGGGAGGGTGGGGTTTATTTTGTTTCAGGAAGAACAGATAACAGTTCTTGTTTTCTTCTTTGCACGTTACTTGCAACATGCAAAGATCTATAACGCTTCAGGTTATAGCAGACCTTTAAAATTTTCTTTTTTAACCTACCTCTGAGTTTTGGGGGTGATGAGGTACATGAATTATAAGCAATTTTCAATTAAATTGAATACGTGTTTTTTTCAGTGCACATGATTTGGAATTTAGAGTTCACAGGCACCCATTAATCTGGCATTTTTGTAATATTTTGGTAACATTTTTATTGTTTTCTAATTTCAGTGTCTTGAGAACATGAGTAGTACAGAATGCTAAATGATATTTCGTGTAGTAAACTTAGCTATTGACCTGTTTTGGTATTTGCTAATCATGCAGTTGTAAGGTGTTCTGCAGTTTTAACCTGAAATTATTCGAAGACCTGTTCTTTATTGTTCTTCACATCCCAGCTCTCCAGTATCACTATAAAGTAACATTGTCAAACAGACTATTAAAAGCAAGAATTAACTGCTCTTGGAGAATTCTTTAAGAGCTTTTTGTCAGCATATGGCACTTGAGAAATGCCTCATTCTACATTGAGTAGTTCCAAGGTAGACTATCACTGTTTGGGGGTGGGGTTTTTTGAGTTTTGGTTTTTTGTTTTTTTTTTTTTTTTTTTTTTTTTTTTTAAAAAAAAAAAAAAAAAAAAAAGTTACATGCAAGATGAATATTCCCGGGAGAAAGAGAGCCCAGTTCTGTAATGCTTTGGGTTTTGTAGTGTTCATTCTGGCATTAATACTGTGGTCCTGGAGTTGTATACAGACTGCCAAAGATCTTTAAAACTATTGTGAGAGTGAGTGGATGTATGATTTCATATTTGTAAATGCCACTAAGCTTTATTTGTCTGTTTGTATAGTTTGCCAGGGAAACTAAATGAAATTAAACTAATACATGTAAGCATTTAAACCATACCATGTGAAAATAAATGTATGTTTGTTTGTTTTCCGAAAAAAAAATCTTTTCTAGGCACTTATTCTTCCTGCAGTTGAAGACTGATATTGTGGAAGGAAGGTAATAAGAAGAATCTTCAATTTCTCTATAATTCTTTTTTAAATAATTTTTTGGGGAAAAAAATAAAGAGCCTTTTTCTGATGGTATCGTTGCTATAAAAATGTACCTTGTGAAATATTGCTTTAAAAGAAAATCAAATTACTGGGAAACATTACAAATTTTCACATAGCTCGCTTAAGAACAGTTTAGAAGTCTTTTGTGTATGAGTTGTAGGAGATGTGCTGTGTATCTGCAGGTACAACATCAACCTGAGAGATCTTTCTGCAGGACCTGGTGTGCCAGACATGATATTCCAAACATAGGGATCCGCTGTCTAGTTCAGTAATCAGGATGAAGTAGCAAAGGGCAGTTCATGCAATTGTTTCTCATGATTTCAGGGTTATATTCCTTATGTGGTGAGCGTATACCCCATGGTTCCTTTGCCTGTGATTCCCATGTGTTTGTACGTTTTAAAAAAAAGAGGAAAAAGGTGGTCTGAGTATTTGCTGCCAAATGTAAATTGCCTTTAGGTATTGGGATTTTTTTCTTCTGTGGAGTCAGTTCTGGTCGTGAGATCAGAGCTGTCTTTGTGCTTGGCATTTGGCTAATTTTAGTGCTTGAGTCTAGCTTTAAATAAACCAGACTGCACCTATTAAAATAATGTCCAGAGCCCCATAAAAATCCCTTCTCCTTTTTGCTTTCTTGAATAAGCATCCATGAAGAATACAAGCTTGTCCTTTTAGGACTGGTTACTTCCATTCACTTAAGAAGCTGTTACAGAGGAACTAGCTTTTAATGTCCAGTCCTACTGTGCTTTGACAATCAAACTTTGTAAAAAAAAAAAATCAGATACTCTTTGAAGATAAATGAATCTTCACGTACTGAACTAGTTGCAGAGACATTGTTAATGATACATTTATACAGTCTGTGTCTAAATAAAGATATTTTCTCCTCTCTTCAGGTTGTCGTGCCCCATTAATTCTGCTGTTGTCCTGGCATCATATGCAGTACAATGTAAGTAATAACCAGTTGTTATTTTGTTAATAAATGCATTTGACCAGCTACCTTCTATGCTGTTTGGCACTGAAAAATAAAGAAAGTTTTCTTTCCTTATCAGTTTGTGCAGAATATTCAAAATGCTACAGGTGGTGCTTTGTAAAGAAGATGCAGGTTATTAAAGCACTCCAGACAGTCTTAATAGAAAAAACATACTTGTTAAGTCCATCAAAAAAAGAGTTGATACAAGAATAACATTGTGCTTATTTATGTATGCTTGTACTGCTGATAAAAAAGGCAGGTTTTCATTGTCATTGGAAACAAAATCATGAAACTTACTGTGTGTTACAATAGCTACGGGAAAGCATTCCAGGGAAATAAGAGATCATCTGGAGATCAGTTAAGGGGAAAGTAAACTTATGATTAAGAAAGTCCAGTGTTCTTATGTAATGTTTTTTCAGGGAATTTGATTTGTTAGATTTGTAAAACTGTCTGGCACTTTGCAATACATTTAAGGTGACTCTCTGTACAAGAACTTATACCCTTCTCATCTGTCTGCAACTGGCAAAAAGAAATTCTAAGAGTGATATTAGAAAAATATTTCCTGTAGAAAAAACCAAAATGGAGCCTGATCCTAGGCCTTACAGGCATCCTAAACAGCTGGTGAAAAACAGCTGGAGGAACCTTTCTCATTAAACAAAGAAGCAAAAAAACAGGTTGAGTGTTTAGTGGAGTTTGTATATTTGTAAAAATGAAGGTTGGGAAAGCATACTAGAATAGTTGTGTAATAACTTGGCTGGTGTGTATTTATTCCATTTCTTTATGTAAAGGCTAGCAAGGTTTGCAGAAGTGATTGAGGTAATTTTTACTTGAAATAAGCTTAATAATTAAAATACGGGTTTCAAAGGAGAAAGTGGTAAACTGTTGGTACCTATGGAAATCCCAAGTGGCTATAAAACATTCGCTTTTCTGTTTAAGTATATCATACGTTGCGCCCTTTTGTTAAATGGAAACACATTCAAGCTTAATAAGAACTGTTGAGACCAGAACAAGTTTTCCAGAGTAGGTGGGAGTCCCAGTTTTGTTGCCAAAGGAAATGCGTCCCTGCTTCTGTATCACTGGGGCACGTGAAGGCTGAAATGCTCTGAACCTTTAGGATTGTTAAATGCAGTGTTGCTGACCTGATTGCGCTAAAGCACAAAAATCTAAAGGTACACCAAAGAATGCAAATATTTTATCACAAAGTCAGGCTTAACATGATTTTTTAAAATTAATTATGCCACAGGTAGTGTACCCCAAATCCCAAAGCAATTCCTGTTTCCCCTTCAGTTTTGTAACTGTTCCCTTTTTGGTGCTTTGGATCCCTACTAATGCAATTGTTTGTACTAAAAGAGAACAACAGAAGGTCAGTGAAGACTCTGGAAGGGCGCTAGTGTGTTTTAATCTTTCTCTTTCCTGGTGGCTTCTGGAAATTCCCATGCAGCTATTTGTTTTGGTTTTCCTAAATCATGATAGTGCTGCTATTACCATTTTTTTGGTTGTGGGTTTGGTTTTTTTATTTAAAAAAACCCTTCCTTTTTTGCAGCTGGTGGCCTTTCTTTTGCTGTTTTCATTTATTCTCTGCATCGGCAAGGAATTAAATGTTTAATAGAAAGACTTATTCCCTTAGAGGAAAAAAAAAAAAAGGTTTTGTTTTGCTGCCAGGTTGTTGCCATTTACCTAAAGATCAGGATATAGGAAAGACTTTCTGAAATCTTTGTAGATCTCCTTATCTAGTCATGTTTACTAGGATTCTTGTCATCTTAAATTGTTTTAAATAGTTTTCTATTGGTGTTTTAATTTCTAATCATTCTTATTAAAGAGAGTTGAAGTTCTTGGATATGAGGTATCTGCTTATTAAAAAGCCGTTCTCTGAAGTTGCCATGGATCGGTTCTACCTGAGCTGTTTCTGATTACTGCCACTTCTTGGTGGTTTTCACGCTGTTTTCTCCTTCTGTAACTTCCCTTGTATGCAGAAGGGGAAATCATTGTTGTCTGACAACGTTATGGTTATTTATTTAAAAGGTGGAGCAGTTGTTACTGGTGGGAGGGCTGAGGCAGATGTCTTTCATTGTGCATGAGTTCTGCATTGTGCTTGATATTTCTGCTCTTGCTTTTTAACTATAGTTTTCACATGGGGCAGTCTTACGGTTGACCTTCACAGGCTTTGTTTGAGTTTTGAGAAGGGTCAGTTTGGTGGTGTTGTCTGTTGTGCCACTGGAGCGACACTTCTCCATACTGCCCTTTGCACAGGTTTTTGGGTTCAGCACTGTGGTTCTGAAATGAAGCTCTGACACGTTACTTGGCACCGTTGTGGCACACCCTGTGTTGTCTGGTGGTGCTAAGTTACAGGGAAATACAAGTGGGTGTGAATACTGTGTCTAAATAGCATGTGACTAAACTTGAATACAAATACAGTTCAGACACTTGAAGAGTAAGTTGTTGGATTTTTGTCAGTAACTGTGCTTTGTGACAGAAACGATCAGTGAATTTTGAATTCCTTTTTAAGAAGAACTTATTAAGGTGTATTTCAAATAATTTCAAGATCATTAAGTCTGAAGGATACTCTCATAGTGAAAAAACAGTCTGATGATAAATTGTACGTTTTGGTTTTTACTCGTGTAAAATGGGAATGTTGTACAGTCTATAAAACTTAATAAGGGACCTGGCAGTGTGTGTATTGCTTTTTTAAAATAAAATGCCACAAAGCTGATACAGGACCACTAGTTTTCTTACTACTTGTGTAGCAAATTCCCGTTTCCAGAACAGTACGTAAATGACTAACTATTGGTATGTAGGCAGTCCCATGGGTTTGGTGGGAACATGCTGTTATATGCGTAAATACTTTGCTGCGTTGGGACTTGAATCTAAAGCACAGCAACAAAGACAACAAAAGATGTTATGAATACTTCTAAGCTTTCTTTTTCCTGAACGTCAGTCGCTTGGTGATTCAGTATGACTGGGGTCTTTCTGTTATCTCCTGTGATACTGTTCCCCTCTCAACTCTGCTTTGACAACCAGGAGATTTCTTTAGCAAGCCGCTGTCTGTCTTTGGGAGTTTGTTCAGGAAGGGATTGACTGCTTGCTTGGGATTCAAATGGGCTTTAAACTCTTCTAAGAAAAGGAAGGCTGGCGAGGGTGAGGATTTGAGGAAAGTTGAGCTTAGAGAGCAAGTCCCTCAGGAACAAGACGTAAGAGAATTTGTTAGTCAGAAGACTGGGATCCTAGAGGTGGAGATGGGCTGTAACATTTAGAGAAACACCAGCAGCAACTTCACAGCAAGAGTCACACCCCATAATTCTCCCATCAACTTTCTTCTTGCTTGACTCTTCTAACATGCCTTCATTTTGCTCCTCCCTCTACAAAAATTACATTGAAACCTCAGACTTCCTAATTTATGGAGACCTGCCTCTTTTCATGGCTAGCATTTGGGAATTTTTCTCTGTGTGTGCTCCCCATCTATGCTTTTTCAAAGTGAAATAATGCTCAGAAGGACATCCTGTAAGCCGAGGTCAGTCAGGTTCCTTCTGCTCTCCAGGGCAGCTGTAGCCCTTATGCCTCAGAATCAAAATCAGACTGGATGGATGAAGAGAAATTTGACATGAATTTCCAGTGTTTGAAATTATTGACCAGATGTGTTGAGTAGTCTGAGGATTGTGTGCGTGTCCCATCTCTTCTTCTGAAGTCTGTTCTGAAGTCTTACAGTACCTGTCATCAGCAGTACCAGAGTGTTATCTGTGTGATGGTGATGAAACTCCCAATACAAGAATCTACTTGGAGAGGTTAATTGAAATACACACCTATTTTCTTCCATATGGTTCACTGTGGTCTAGATTGCTGCTTTTGAGCTTGATAGCATCTCTTTGTACAACAGCTCTTCTCAGAGTGTTCTGATAGTTTATATACAGCAGCTCTCCAGCTATTTTGGACTGTTTTCCCTGAATTATGGAGTACAGTTGTGCTAGGCAATACAGAGGCCACTGCAGGAGATTATTACTTCAAGTGTTGTTTGTCTGGTATTCTTCCACTATGCCACAAATAAGTTTTTTGAACCTGTACACTTCAAAACAAAGTAAAATGCTGTAATCTCTGGAGTGGAGAACCCCAGATTGGGATATTTTCTAGTGCTGTAGCTGAAGGAGCTGATTTTCTACAGTGCCTCATAGACTTGTATTTTTGAGATGGATGAACCTATTAAATATTTTTGTGTAACAAGTAAAAAGGGGAAAAGAACAGTTAACCACGGTCAAGGTCCATGTAGTACAGTATTATACTCGTATAAGAACTGGTGAATGCTGAGCGGCAACATACATGACAGAAGATCAGAGGAGTTTTAAGATGCATTAGTTCTACAAAACTAAAAAAATGTTTTGGTGGTACTAATAACTATTCCCCCTTTTATCCCTATACTTTTTCAAAATGAATACTCTTCGTACTTTGGATTATACTTTGCTTTTCTCAATTCTGATTGTGACTGCATGGTTTCTGAAGTACATGTTGTATTTGAGATGGAGACATAGCAACTCAGTAATAGCTTAAATTTTCAAATTTGTTTCTTCCCTTTCCTTATGATTTTATTGTTGTTGTTGAACTGTGGCTGGGTTTTGAGCTGCTGATTTTTAACTCTTTTGATTTTTATTTTTTCAATAAAAGATTTTACAATGACTCATTTTTTCATTCTGGACTGGTAATAGGTAACTTGGAGACCACCATTGTGCATGTATAGTTTGGGGTTTTTTTCTACAAGTGTTCCTTTGTTTTTCTTAATGCCTGATTTCTCATTCTGTCTTAGCACAGAGTGACCAGCTGTCATAAGTGGTCATAAGCAGCTATTTAGAGTCATCTCTAGATTGAACTTTTTTCTAAGGGCTCTTGAGCATGAAGCATTATTTCCTTTCTCAAAACAGGTTAGTTTTATCCACATGATAGCTAGTTCTACTTGTCCAGGAAGGACATCACGCTTACTTACTCGGTGGTTGAGTGGGTTAGAGTTCATGCTCTTGTCCTTACGTGGATACAGGTTCCACTTACTGAAACACCTTTCCTTCTCTCCACATCCACTTATGAGGGTTTTGGTCTTTTTTGGAGGCTCTCTCTGATGATCATTTTCAACATGGTGTCTTTATACATCTACATGGATTTTGCTCATTTCAGTGCACCTTTTTAGTCTCTCTTTTAGTAAGTGTCTACATTTTATGTTGGTTCTTTGAAACTGAATTCTGCTGTAGTGGATTATTTTCTGAAGCATTTTCATACCTGAATACTTCGTAGTTTCTCTTGAGAAATAACTGCTTTAAGTTTATGCTGTGCAGTGCATCACCTTTCTTCTGTTCTCTATTTGTGCCAAGAAGCAGTCACTTAAAATGTCTGTCATCCTTTTGGTTTGCAACTCAAAGAAGAGTCTGTGTCTGTCTTTCTTGCACCTTCTGTTTGGGGTGGTGGAAGACAGAAATGAGGTCAGTGCTGCCTTACCCTGATATATAAGCTGACTGACCAATGATTTTTTGGAAGAAACCACTGAATGAACGAAGCCTCAGTAATTACTGTAAGAGTAATTAGGAGTAACTGTAAGAGTGGCTTTTTTTGCTTCCATGTGTGTCAGATCTTCCCTCTGTAAAGCTGTCTTTTTGGGTTTTGTGTTTTGTTTTTTTCTTTTTTTCTTAACACAGCAATGTATCGGGTACTTGAGCTTCTCTTTCTGGGGAAGATGCATGTGTACCCATAGAATTCGATTGAAATCGGTCAGTGCTACGTAAATAAACTTGTTCCTGGTCTGCCTTTCCTCTATATCTGAATCTTACCCAAAAAAAAATGTACTTTTTTGTTTGTTTGTTTTAATTAGTTCTTTTCTTTGATGCCCTCCTGCACAAAAGCCTTTCTGCTGACAGAAGAGAGACAAAAATGTATATCCACCACATTGTTCTAACTGAACAAATTCTTTTTGCAAAGTCTGAAGAAAAGAGATCTAGTTTAGGCTTTAATAAGGCATAGACAGTTCATATCCTGTGTAAACATATATGATCTGAAGATTATTTGTTTCTCAAGTGTTTATAAATTCTTATTGAGAGCTTGTACAAATGCTGGTTTGGTAAGTCCATAGAAAATAATTCTGAGGCTACTTGGCTGTTGCACTGTTCTTTTACTAAGAGTTATAAAACAAATGTCCTCCTTTTATTGAATATGACCTTCTAAATGAACGGTTCATCATGTTCCTGTGTTTCAAGCCTTTCGTATTAGGTATAGACCTCTAAAATACAAGAATCTGATATTCAAGTAACTTACTTTAACTCCTCCTTGGTGCCGTTTTCTTTCATTTTACTCTATGTTCTTTCCCAGTTATAATGAATTAAAGAGCAACAGTTGGCTAGAATGGAAAAAGGTAAAAATAAGCTTTTTTTTTTTTTAACTGTAAGTTTATCCTCAATGAGGATAGCTCTGAAGGCTATGTCAGGAGAAACTCTGATTAGAAATAGGTCTTTAATTTTTCCTGCCCCTCTGCTCTCTTCTGTGGAAATCCAGTAAAGAGGTAGAAACCTCAAAGGTTTTTTTTCTTACTGAGGTCTTGATATGCCCTGACTTTTTTTTTTTCCTACTTGGATAATTAAATCCTGTGCAAGATCATTAGTCTTCCAAGATGTCTACTAATCAGCATTTATAGTTTCTCTTCAACTGTGACAGTTGGCTGGGGAGTTGGAGAAGCAAATAGTACTCTGAACTGCTCCCCTTGTTGACATGACCTCAGGTAGCTAGCAGGAAGAGGAAAAAAAGACCAGAGCAACCTCCGTATTTGGAAGATGAGCAAGAAGACTCTACCTCATAATGCATGAAGGAACAGCAGTTGCCCTCTTTAGAGAAGGTAAAACTACAGTAAAAAATATTTTTCCTAATGCAAATAAAATTGAAGTGGACAATTACATTGTCTTATTCCTGGCAATCTGGTCTCTTCCCATTGACAAGAATGTAATTCAAGCTATCTGTAACAAACCTGAAAAATCTAGACTGTGTTTCATAGAAAAGATGGGTTGTGTTAATCACTAATAAAGGAAAAAGTCTGCAATCAACCACTGTAATCTGTGAAATTGTGTGCATTCTTTTGACACTGTTATTAACATACCTACTCTGTTCAAAATGTTGTGGGTTTTTTATTGTTATTGCCTTGGTCTTGGCAGAGACTTGGACTTCTGTTAATAGATGGATATTCCTAAAAATTATTTCAGTTTCTTGTTATAGTTCTGGATCTTCTGTCTTGTTTTTTAGGGGGGTTGTTTTCTCCTTCAGTTATGTTTTTGACAGAAGTATTCAAATATGCATTTTGTTTCTCATGGTACATATTTAGTCTTTTGCCAGCCATTTTGCTAAATAATTTAAAATTCAAGCTTCCTTTAAAAAGAAGGGGCTAAGCATTGCAGGAACATCTGCATTCAAAATAAATTCCTTACTGTTTATCATTCCACTTTACTTTTATTTCAGTATTTCCCTTGATACTGACAATTCCCCTTTGTCTGGAAATTGTTTTGTATCACAGTGGTTCTGTTTTCTAGGGTATAGAAATCATGCTTTTTGAATATGTCATGTGAAATATTAGTGATCCCCTGCATTACAGATACTCCATAGTTACTGTAGCTCTAAGTTATTTCTGAAGTCAACAACTTCTTCCCGCTCCGCAACCTGAATAATTTAAATCACTCCTTTATACTTTGCTTGTTCTGGAAAATAATGGTAATGATATTGTTCCTAAAAGTATGCTCTTTAACTTTGATTTAGTTGAGGAGCTTTCTATGCTGAATTGCTTGCAGTCTATACAAGTACTTTCTTTTGTGTTAATTTACAAAAGTCATACAAATAACTTCTGGGAAGCTTTAATGCTTTATAATAACTATTTTATAATCCTTAGGGAAAAAGCAGATCAGTACAGGTTCTAGTGATTTGCTTAACCATACCATCATATTTTGGGTTTAATCTCTTCAACTATTTCATGAAAACACAGATGTCATGAAATACGGGGTTTGAGTTACTTAACTGAAACTAGATAAACTTGTGGCAAATCGGCAAGTACTTTGTTTGAAGCAACCTACCTGGTGCCCCATGCCTTGCATCTTTATAACTGGCCTAGCTTGTAAAGAAAACTCACATGGACTGAAGCTATAAACTTATTTGTATTTTCATTTATTTTCAGATATACCACCCATTGTGGATAAGAATTAGCTTTTATCTAGTAACTATTTTAAAATACCTACTAATTAGTATGTTTGAAAGGACAAAGTTTTAGGGATTTGTAAAAAAAATTTTATTTTATTTTTTTAGTTTATTTAGCTGTAGTATATTTGGTAGCAACTTAGTAATGTTATGTGTAAATCAACAGTTACTTCTCGTGCTTTAAGTAACTCATGTTCAGCTGAGGCAAGATTTAACAATTGAATTGTTAGGACAGAGCCACAGTCGGTAGTTTGAACAATTTTTACCTGACGGTGTGAAGATTAGATGCTGAGTGACAGGTCTTGTTGAAGACTTCTAATCTGTTATAGTCAAGTAAACATATATCAGACTGATTTCATTTGCTGTCTCTTACTGAAGCAATTTGGTTTCCTCTAATGCCGCAGTACTGCATGTCTGTGCCGATGTGGCATGTAACACCTGTCTGGTGGCGTTACAGCTTATGATGCAAAAGTGGGGCTATATAAGTAGCTCAGTAAAGTACCAAGTCATTCGGTGCCTGAGATTGTAGTTATGGTAAGCGTATTTTGAAAAAAATCTTTCTTCACTGGTATCATACAGTTCCCTGTGTTCAACACTGCTTGTCTGTTGGGAAATAATTCGTAATTCCTGCATTTTCCTGTATGTGTACATGTTTTAATGAGGAGAAGGAATTCCTTAAATAATAATAATCCATTAACTATGAAAATTTTCTATATGTTTCTTCTTTCCTAACAGCGCAACTTGGAGACTATAATGCTTCAGTACATCATTCAGGATATCTGTCAAATTACAACTTTATACCAGAGCAGAACAAAGATTTTCTCACCAAAGTAGAATCACTACATGAGCAACACAGGTAATGTTAATTTTTAGTTCTGTCTCACCTCTTGAGTTTTTAAAGAGAAAGAAGATGCCGAAAGGAAGACTCAAGTTCTTAGTAGTTTAAGTACAACAGAAAGTTTTATTTCGTATAGCTTCTATTAAATGAAATATTTGGCTTTATCATGTAGGTGCTAGACTAATCATATGCAGAGTATGATGCCAATGTGTTAAAACATTTAAATAAATTTCTAGCTATAACAACCAGTAGATCAGTTAGAATTGTATATTGTTAATGGCAGCCATCTAGAACACTGCGCCTAGATGTCTGAGGGTTTTTTTGGGTCAAGGACATTTGACTGTTTTTCAAATCCTATAGATTTTTTTGTCTGTCTATGGAAAAAAAACCCAAACAAACCATGAAACACTTAGTAACATTGTGCTTTCTCTCCACTCTCCTGAGTGTAATATAAAGGCTACAACAGTTTATTCCAGTCAGTGCACTGCTAATTGCTCTTGCTGACCCTGCTGATTTGTCTCTTGCAAGACTGAAGCTTTAGAATTAGTAGTGTTGATCAGATACTTGCAAGCTGAATGCAAATATGCCAACCTAAGAAATTATCTGTGAGCATCTGAGCAAATGAAATCCGAATCTCTGTGGGCTTGTTCTCTCTGTATACATCTTTACTTCAGAAGAGCTAGTTCCCCACCTCCTAGATTTTGATTTATACCCTGAAATACCTCCATTTTCATCTCCCCCTGATGCTCCTCAACATTTTTTGTCACCATTCAGTAGTCTCACCTCTTCCTCTTGTTTCTTGACTGCTAGTCAGTGTAGTGAGTAGTTCTGAAATTCATGTGTGCTGCCTACATGCTTTGTCATTTATGGGGCGAAAGAGAACCACTGAACTCAACTGTAGCCGTTCCCTCTGTGTTGGTACTAATCTGGACTGCTTTCCTAGAAGTTCATGTTCAGGAACACAACAGCTGAGTTCTCGACTCCTTCCAGATTAACCCGTGGCTTCCAGTAGGCTCAGAAGTTTTTAGAGGAGCACTTGCAGACAGGCATGAATAAATCTGTTTGTCTTTAGGAAGCAATAGTCTTGGAGACCACTGAGGGGAGATTCTGAAGAGTCTTGAAGTGGTTGGGTTGAACTCATGTATGTGGTGCTATTATAGCCAGAGATACAGAACTGGTTATGTCCTGCAGAGAAAAGACTGGAAGTTACCATTGGTCCAGACAAAGGTGTGGTGGGGTCTGTTGAAAGACCCCTTTCTTTTCTGTTGTTGTTGGTTTTTTTGTTTTTTTTTTTTCAGTGAAACTGATGTTTTCATTTGGTGTGTTTGGTAGAGTGAAGCTTTGATGACTGAGAAGTTTAACTGCTGTATTTGCATTCACATAGGTGGTGGCAATTGAAGTTCTGAGTAAAAATACTTGAGTAGACTGGATTGGGAAAAATGTTTCTTTATTGTTTTAACACTTTTTTTGAAACTCGCTCTTCAGGCCTATTTGTTTCAGAGTACAGGGAGAGGCACACAGATTATTGCATATCCTGGCAGTATTTCTTGTATCGTCCTTTGGCATTCATAGTAAATACTTATATCTGAGACATGGTTTTGACTAGATCAGTGCCAGTAATATACTTGACAAGAACAGTTCTGGTTTTTACCAGGCCTTCTGAGAAGGACAGACAGAAAGGGAGAATTTGTCTTTTACAGTTTGAAAACAGTGTTGTTTTGGAATGAGATTTCTGCTGATCTGGAGTAAATAATATTTCCTGTAGACCATAAGGGATATCTGTAGATTATTATCCCTTTTAAATTAGCATTCATAGATTACAGGATTGCAAAGTCATCTTCATAAACATCTATCCTTTTTCATTCTTTAGTGTCTATTCTTTGGGAAACTTTCACAAAGGAAAACTAAAAGGCTGGAGTTACTGAAACAATAGACAGACTTAAGAAGTCGTTTTCTGTCTTGTATGTTGTAGCTCAATGCAAGTTTTTTTAGCTAGTTTTTATGTTGTTTTACAAAGTCTGAGAAAGTAGTTTTATGAACGTGTTCATGTGAGAAACTATTCGGTGGACAGTAAGTAGCTGCTGAGAAAGTGGCTATTGTCATATTGAACTGGTATAGCTTCAGAAGTTTTCCTTCTGTGTTCATCCCTAAATCCATAGGGGGATTTTTCTGTATGTAGTTTGTTCTAACAAGGTTTTCTTACCATTTTTTTGCTTTGTACATAAGCAGCCTGAGGTGTCAGGATGTGGATATTATCCAAATTGGTAATGTTTTCATAGTACTTGCTGGATCTAGCCATCAGTTTGAGGAGAAGGATGTGTTTGAAACTTCATAAGGTGCTTATATTCCAGATGATGTTTGTTAGCCCTTGGGTATCAGCAGCTATAGAAATTGGAAAGAGACACCAAGACTGGTGTCCTCTTGCCTGTTTGTCTCATCAAGTAACTACCACCTGCTTAGGGACCTCAAGGTTTCATTTCATCTCTAATTGAATAGGGAGGTGTAACAAGAAAAAAAACTAAGTCTGTGCTGAGATACTTCTAGTTGGCCTTTCAAGACACAAGGCTAGACTGGTCTGGTGTAGAAGGCGTAAGCAAATTGAGAAATAAAATTTGCAAGCATGTTATGTTGGTATGCAACAGACTTTTCCCATCTTTTTGAACAAAGTTCTTGATCAAAATTTAAAAAAAATAAAATAATGTACTCTTGTAAACATATTCAGCATCCTGTTGTATAATAAAATGGTCATTTTGGGGGGTTTTCCTTTACCTTTCTGACACAGTGAAAGACATAAGGTCTACTAATGTTTTTCAAAAACAAGGTGATAGTAGTCCCTGTAGGTGTAGATCTGAGTGAGCAGTTTATCTCAAGATTGTGACAAACAGCTCTTTTTTTGGTTTTTTGGTTTTTTTTTGTCTGTGCTCTTTTTTTCCAATATTGTGATGTCCTCAAGCCACACTGCTGTCAATGGCTGTCCAGGTCAGCATAACTTTCAGTTTCATGGAGCATGATGTAAAGTTTCCTAGAGTGGCTGTTTCAGGGCATAGTCTGGAATTTGAGAGAATGGGTATTAGTTGGAAGTAATAGATGTCCATCTTTTGAGGTGAAGCCCCTTTTAAGAATGGGAATTACTGCCTTATGTGGAATGCCTATGTATCTGGAGTTCTTAACATTCTTAACACAATGTTATGTTAGCTTTTTACAGATTGTTTTTAAACTGCATTTTATTAATGTTATTTCGTGTGTGTCATTTTGGAAGCTCACCTAGCAAAGAGTTGGTTTTGGCTGCACTTAGTTGCAGATATGATAGGATGATAGCACATGTCTTTTCTACTTAGATGTGTGTAGATACTACACGCATCCCTCAGCCTCTTCTTACAGTTACTCGAACACGCTATAGTGCTTGAATCGCTCATGTGTTCTGTGAGACCAGGATCGCTGTGGGTGCAGCACAGTGTCAGTAAGTTACGGCAGATTCCAGGTTACAGCTGCCTCTTGTCTGATTGGTTCTTGTCTGGTCTTGGCCCTGCAATTTATTGGAAGGGGCTACTTTCGTTATCGTGCAAAGGAATCTTGTTTAGGCCACGTTGCATTCCCCTCAGATGAATAATTAGTAGGCTGCATGGGAGAATCAGCTAGGTAGGGATTACTGCTGCGTCCTTTTCGTTTTAAAAACTCCTAGTAGATTGCACATAGCTCTCCATGAAGGTATATAGTTGCTTATGCGAGGTGTGGGGATTTTTGAGGGTTTGTATCTGGAAAATAAAGTCTCAGAATCATAGAAGCTTTCTAGGAGACCAGAAGATAGACTCCTCTTAAGTCTTGCAGCACATTTTACATCTAGCAGCAGGAGAAAAAATATTTTAAGACTTACAGATTGTAGATAAACTCAGATGGCTTTTCCTCAGTGAATTTGATAACTTTAACTTACTTAA